TATGAGCCTTGGGTTCAAACTCGTGCCTTTGGTGACTGTGAATATGCACATAGCAAGTAAACCCAAACACACGGAGAGGAAGAAAAAAGAGATCCTCATCCGGGAAGAGAAGACTAAAAGGGGTTTTAAAGCCAAGGACCCGGGAGGGCATATGGTTGATAAAAAAGGTAACAGTAAGAACAACATATCCCTAAAACTTTATAGGAACATGGGATGCAAATAAAAAGGATCTGGCAACCTCAACCACATGCCTGTTCTTTCTTTCCGCCACCCCATTTTTTTGTGGAGTGTAGAAACAAGAACTTTGATGAATAACCCCAAAAGTTTCAAGATAGGTGGAGAGGGTTCTCTCAAAATACTCCTTAGCATTGTTGGAGCGGAATATTTTGATACGGGTATTAAACTGGGTGATGATGAGTTCATGAAAATTTTTCACAATAGTTGGTATTTCATCCCTGGATTTCATGAGATAAATCCAAGTGTAACGTGAATAATCATCAATGAAAAGGATAAAGTACCTGTAACCCCCATGGTTGGCATGTGATATGGCATCCACACATTAGAGTGAATAATATGGAAATGAGAAAATGATCTTTTATTGCTAATTGAATATAAATGTCTACAATGTTTTGCCAGCTCACATGATTCACAATGAAGACTCGATAAAGACACTCCTTTAAACATATATGGGAACAAATGACTCAAAGCAGAAAATGACAAGTGACCAAACCGAAAATGACATAATAAAATTTTGTTAACAGACTCTGACACGACTGACTCTAAGGCAACTCCATGAGGTGGTCACAAAGCTTGATCCGGTGTGTCCAGCAAGTATATTCCGTTTGCCTCATGGTCACTCCCAATCATCATCTGAGACTGTAGGTCCTGAAAAACACAATGAGTGGGAAATAAAGATATGTTGCAATTCATTGACTTTGTTAAGCTACTAACAAATAAGAGGTTTGTGTTAAGCTTAGGGACATGAAGAACAGAAGATAAGAACATGGTGTCAGAGGTCTTTATATCACCTTTACCAAAGATGGGGGCAAGGGACCCATCGGCAAGGGATATTTTCTCTTTCCCAGAGAGGAGGTGATATGAGCAATACAGGTTAGATAGGTTGGTCATATGGTCTGTGTTATGGACACACCTCCCGGCAACGCACTGCGGCGCAGTCATTGGCAGCAGCACACACAGCGGGCCGCCTAGCGGCACGCACCAGCCGGCAGCGCCGCACAGCAGGCTGGCAGAACGCGGCACATACCGCCCAACAGGGCGCTGCACGCACCGCCAGGCAGCAGCGCGCACTGCACGGCAGCACGCACCGTGCACACGCCGGCACCGCACGGCAGCGGCACCATGAGCCGCGCGCACGCATTGCGCGGTAACAACATTGCACGCACGCATCGTGCGGCAGGGCACCATGAGCCACGCGCACGCACCCGGCAGCAGCAGCAGAGCGGGGCCCACACGACAGCTCATAGGGGTGGGCCCACCCTTATCTGAATACGTCAACTCGCCACCAGCTTAATCTTATCCCATATCCCTTATCCCTTATCCCTTATCTTGTCCTTATCTTATTTTATCTTCTTAAGTAAGAGTTATGAGTTTTAGTTTGAGTAGGAAATTAGGAGTTTTAGTTTGARTTGGATTACCCTAGCCTAGCCGAATCCAACAAGGAATTCTCTTTTGTAATCTCCTATTTAAGGAGCTACGAATTGAAATAAAGCATTCAGTTTTCCAGCCAAGAAAAGAGTGAGGAGAGTTTGKGTGGTCTCTTGGACAAATCACCCCAAGGGAGAGTTCGGGTGGTCTCTTGGACAAATCACCCACTAGATAGGCAAAATAGGGTCTGTGCGTAAGACCAAAGGCAAGGGGAGATCAAGGGTTCCTGTCGTGGAATGACCCGTGACGCGATCCTGCGCTCGGGCCCATAACAGTCTGATGCACCAGAATCAATAATCCAAGGGAGATTACGATTACCTGAAGCTGAAGCATGATTCACAGAAGCACGAGTACTTGAGTGAGCAAAAGCCGATGAAGATGATGTACTGTTGGAAGGGTGAGTTGAAGAAACCGTAGCTTCCAGGTGATTTAGGAGCCTCCCATACTTCTCAAAATCCAGCTTCATTGCAGCCAACTGCTCAATAGTTGATTTTTCTTCGCTTTCCTTACTTCCCCCTTCAAACACTGTAGCAGCATTAGCGGTCTTGGATTTTCCCACCTGACTGCCCTTCTTAGGGTTATTATTGTTCTTAAATCTACCAGGAAGAAGTTCAGGATGAAGCTTCCAGCAGGTGTCCTTCGTATGCCGTGGTTTCTTGCAATATTCACACAACTGCTCTCTTTTCTCAGTAGGGCCCTTCGGTTTCATTCCCGCATGTGCAAAATATTCTGTAGATGGACTCTGCAACTGCACCTGCACCTGCACCTGCCGCCTATTCTCCTCACTACTTATCATAGCATATGCCTGTGAAAGAATAACCTCATCCCTGGCCAAAATGTTCTGTCTGATAATATCAAACTCAGGGTTGAGTCAAGTGAGAAACTCAAACACCCTATTTCTCTCCACTAGCTTTCTATACATTTCAACATCCTTTTTACTCTCCCATACCACTGTTTCCATAACATCAATTTCCTGCCATAGGGACTTTAGTATAGAGTAGTAGATTGCCACATTCTTTTCCCCCTGTCTCAAGTTCTTCACATCACTTTTCAATTTGTATGCTCTGGCTACATTCAGTTTCTGTGAATAGGTCTCAGTTACACTGTCCCATATCTCCTTAGCCGAAGACATTCAGAGATGGTGCTGGCTTATATKAGGTTGCATAGAGTTGACTAACCATCCTATAACAGTATAGTTCTTTTGCATCCATCTTTCAAATTCAGGGTCTGTCTCTTCGGGTTTCACCTTGCTGCCTGTGAGATACCCGAGTTTTTCTCTACTACAAACACAGATTTTTATACAGTAGACTCAAGCAAGATAGTTCGTCCCATATAGCTTAATTGTGGTAACACCCATCAAAACGGAATCTACTGGAGCAGGTCCAGAAGCTGGCACCTGCTTGAACTCACTTCCATATGTCTCCATTAATCAAACGAAAATCAATGAACAGAAAGTTTTGATTATGTAAACTTACTTGAAGTCAAACCAGAACTTGGGTGCGTGAAAAACTAGGGTTTTGCTCCGTCCAGTAAATGAGCGGGAGAGAGAAGACAGTGCCACACCTACCAGAGTAACCCAAACTCTTCCAAACCTGAACCGCCCTCCTTTAGCAGTCACAAGACACCTTCCAAGCACAGAGCGCCACACCCAAGCTTCACCTTTCCTGGTAACTCGAAAATCTCCAGTCGGCTAAGGTTTTGGGCAACAGCAAAACAACATCACTTCTTGGCAAAATCTGGCCAGAACTAAACTCTCCAAACCCTTCTACCAAGTAGGCAAGTGATTCTCTATACTATAGAGAACCTATCTCTCCATACACTCTCTTGATTTTAGAGTGTACAGGAACAACTGATACTAAGATGTAAATCAGTCCTCTAATATCAAGATTAAATTTAGTGATTAGCAGAACAGAACAAATCTGAATAACTGTATAAGAGAGGAAGATGGCGAAGAGAAGAGGTAAGAGAAGAAGAAGTCGAATTAATCACCCTTCTCCTCTAACCCTATTTTTTTATTAATCTCTAAAAATTGATGATGACAAATATACCCTTAAGTGGGCGGCTAGCTTGGTAGCTACATAAAGAAAATAAAATAAGAACAAATAACAGTCCCATTAAGTGAGGCCCATCAACATAAAATAAAAGATAAAATAAAGGATATTACATGAGAGGCTGTTAGGGCCCCATTCGGCCCAGTCTCTTTACACTATATTCAAGTTTGGATTTGGTCCCAACACAAAATTCTAAGAGCTATTACATTGAGAACATCTAGCCATAAAGATCAAGAGAGATGTTCTCAATGTATTATGTATGGCTGCAATGGTTATTTGGATTGTGAGTCTAGATCTCCCACCAATAAAATAAATTCTAGCACCCATCATTTTTCGAACTACCATTTGACCTGGACAGTTTGACTGTTTGTCCTAGGAATTGTTTAGACAACTGGTTCCATTTTACCCCAAACTTGGTCCTTGGCCAACAACGTTGAATCAATCAATGACCCATTGACTCGAGCAGTCGAATTGTCAACCCGTTCAATGTTTTCTGACCTTTTTTTTTAATCTTTATCAGAACGGGCTGTCTATTCAAATTAAACAGTTGAACCGTCAACCCAAAAACTAATGACTAGAATGATTCCAATTTCATGTCATTTTTTAAAACATTACTAACACCCATCCAACATAATATAAAAGTTGATTCCACTATGCATAAAATGTACAGTATCAAATCATGTTGGAAGGGTGTTAGAATGTATTTTATTGGCAGGAAATCCCACTCGAGTAACAATTAGCTCAGATTGTTAAATTTGGCAGGATATACCAACTTACAACACATTAGGGAGTCCAGGTTATTTGCCAATACAATACATTCCAACAACTACCAACATGATCGGACACCCGCACATCTCATACATGGTGGGTCTTATTTTTATAGTGGGTCTCAGTCTCATAGTATATGCAATGTTAGATCAAATTGATTGGGGGTTAGAATGTATTTTTGTAGGAGAAGATCACAATTCCAAGTTAGGGCCATGGATGGAAAATATCTCGCATGAATGATAGAATAAATATAAGAAATATTCCCTATGTGCGGTTGCAAGTGACATGATGGGGTTGGTGTAAGGTTGGTGTAGAGAGCGCTCTGTGATAAGCAAATCCAATGCCTAACAGAGATTCGTATCAATCTGTTTGTCACCGCCACGTCCGCACTCTGGCTGGGACGCAGAGGCACTTGCCACGAAGGTTCAAATTGAATACTGACAGCTTACAAATTGGCTTCGGTAGTCGATAAATCCCCATATCCGGAATTCCGGAGGAAACAAATAAAAAGTGTTGGAAACGTGAGGTTTCATCAATCTTCTGTCCACCACCATCTGACTTTTTGTATCCATGGATAAAATATAAAATGCTATAATAATAAATAAAAATAATAAATATAAGACGGGATGTGAGGAATACATAAAAATCTTATTTTGTACCCATCTCTCGTCGTTACGAGATAAAAGGGGGGATCTCCTCTGAAACAAGAATCTTGATTTCATCACTCGGGACACTACTGCTAGCAGCTCTTGGCATCAGCACAATGGCGTCCTCCGGGGTTGTTGGATTCGTTGGTCTAGATGAGCTCAGCTTGGAATTGGCTGCTTCGCTCGTTCGCTCTGGCTTTCGGGTCCAAGCGTTTGAGGTCTGAGTCTGATCATTTATTCCGTTATTATGGTTTTAGTATCTTAGTATTTTTTTTCCGGTGTTCAACTGAGTCTGATATTTATTCATTTGAAAAGTAAGACCAGCCCGTCAGATATTTGATTGAAAATTTCAACTAATAAGCTTTTACCGAATCTTTGGATTTTGGTTGATCAACAATGTGTAAGTGAGGAGTATTAGCTTAATTCTATATGCTTATGCCTGTAACTTACTTTGCTTTTGTTCAATGAATTCCATGTTGTTTCTGTTGTATCTTTATAAACAATCCTGCCAATAAATTCTTGACTTTCACTGAGACAGAACACTCAGCACCCACAGAGGACTGGAAATGTTCTATGCACCAATGCATGTATGTAGTTGAGTCATATATTAGTTAATGAATTTGGATTATTAGCAATCCTTACAATTCACATTCTACTCTGCCATTTTGGGTCGATCAAAGACTAAAATTGCACATAATTTGGAACAACTAGGATCCCTGACTTTGATGTTTCATAAGGAATGCTTTTTGGTACTATGTTCCCGACTGGGTGCATATAGTGAGATATACTACATTGATTTTTGCTCCATTTTTTCTCCCTTTTGAGACTACAGAATGTTGATATCAGATCACGTCTTAAAAAATAGCATTTTTATTAAGAGGTTTATTTTGGGGCTTCAATGTTACATTTTATATAGTTTGGATGACCATTTGCAAATGTGTGGAGGCAAATGGTAATACAGACGCTACTGCACTCTCTTTGGTCTGGCAACTTTCTCTCATTTTGAACAACTTGTTCCTGCACTGTGGTCCATAGTTATTTTAGAAATCCAGCTTCTTATAACAACTTCAACTTAGATTTCCAATACAAAAGATCTACATTTTCATTGCATTTAATATATGGATGCATACTATGTGCCTGTTTGGGAGGGCTTTCATGCAACAGCTTCTGGCTTTGCAAAGTGGGTCCTACACGGACATCCTATAAGCTATGCTTGGTGAAAAATCTGGAAATGCCAAATACACTTCTAAAATATTGGCTTTCTGGTGAAGCTTCTTTTGGTACCTTCTTCAAAGTGGCTAATCGATAGTAGCTAAATCATAGCTTCAGTCCTCCCAAGTGGGTCTTATAATAAACCTGAAGCCTTAGTTGTCTACACAAATCCTACATGCTATTCTCTATCTAGGGCCATGTCATTTGTTATCATAAAACATTTATTTTGTCATTACTTCAGTGGTCCAGTCTATCCATTTTTTCCTTTTGGTTTTTCAACAAAACAAGAAACTACAGTACTAATTATGTTTTAAAATATATACATGAAATGAGAAGCTCCCATGAAAACATAATCAAAGTTTTCTATACAGCATTATCAAAACCCTCTAAAATTAGTGCACTCCCCAAAAGATGTGTGATTTGTATTCGTTTAACACTATGGGCCAATCCAAAATAAGCCAATAGATTACCACACAAGTCCCTGACATAGGCTCAAAAGAAGAGACTATCTCATTCTTTCCATGAACCTAGCATATAACAAAAGGACTATGATCCAAGATTCAATATTCTTCCTAAACAGCTTTCTAGAAAGAAGCAGCAAGTTCGCCTCCTTTTTATTCTTCCTCTTGTCCTTTTAGATCCTGCAAGTTGGTCACATTGCTCTTTTCTCCTTTATGAATTTATTGATTTTTGTGCACCTAACTGAACCCTCTTAGTTCACTATCCTGCATATTTTCAATGTATAAGGCGATGGCGTTGACTGAGTTGGTCTGAGACTCTAAAAGTTCGAGTGATGATAGGTGGAGGCTGAGGTCCTCTCAGATCTGGTGATCTTGAAGGTGTGGAAAGTGAAAATGGTTGAAAGCTGAGTGAGAGAGCTGGAAATCTCTCTGTTATATTGGAATCTCCCAAAAACAAGTCTGGTAGGGAATATTCCCAGTTAGGATTCCTGAGGCTGATATTCCCTCTCTGGAATCTGGATCTGATTACTGGTGTTTGCTTTTGGAATGTGAGCTGATATTTATAGTTTCTTTTGGAAGTTTCTAGACTTGTCTTTTTTTTGGACTTAACCTTTATCTTGATTCTCTTTCTTGGGAATCACAACAAAAATGTTGTTATTAAAATATCTGTCTGACATGATGTGGTGTACTGATTAGTTACATCATGTTAACTTTATTGGTTATAGGAGGGACCATGCGGGGACTAGTACACAGCCATGTGCCTTTCCCAGCCTCATGCACTTATCCCAAATGCGTTCACTCGTCTATATCTGCTGGCTATAATAGCTGTAGTGCCCATTTTGCATGTCCTTTTTTCAAAAAAACTTACAATTTTCATTTGAATCTTACAATTTATACGATTCATGCGATTCTTATCAATTCAATTAAGAATTAGTTCTCTACTTTGTTGTTTTTTGTTTGTTGCAAGTTTTGTCAATGGAGAAAATTTTAAAGTCCTTGCTAGAAAATGATTTATTCAAATTATATAAGATATTTTAGAAGCCATATTAGTTTATTTTCCATCATATGTAGGTTGATGGTCCATCTTATGTGGATTATTTGACTTTCAATTCGGACATGATTATATCATCTTAGGCTTCTAGTGTACAAGTAGTAAACTTTGTCATTCTAGGTACGTATATGGTAGATATAGACTAAAAATAGGGAAAGTCACTTATATATATATATTAATATGTCTATTTTTAATTTTTGACAAGTTTTTTGAAAACAGAAATAATCTTATGATTTATGATATGATTCTTTTTTTTGGTATAAGATTTATGACATGATCCATGATTTGATTTGATTCAACTTTATCTAAGTTTAAAATACAAATATGATTTTCAGAACATTTTCATCTTAAGGGTGTGTCACATGAATTACTCGATAATTTGGTGTGTGAAGTGTATCTACTTGCTCTAATATCCATCTTATTACCTTTTTATGTTAGACCGTACAACACTCCCGAAGCACATCTCACTTCATTCGCCATACTTAAAAATTCTATAGGCACATCTTCTTCAATCGTTCCTCATGATAACCAATGAAGATACCAGAGATCACTTCTATGGGTATCTCTTAGCAATCAATCTCAACCGGTTCTTTATTTTGCTAAACCTGAACTCTATAATCTCTTTTAGATGGTTTATTTTTAAATATTCTTCGAGCCTCTCTTCATACTTCAAACTTTGTGCTCAGTTTTTTGAGAATCAGCTTAATGTATTTATTTTTCTCTATTGTAGCATTTTGTATTTGGCTGTTAATCCATTGTTATTGGTCATTTTTGTAACATTTGCAGATATACACGCCTTTGATGGAGGGGTTTTTGAAGTTGGGTGGAGATAAATGTGGTACTCCTATTGAGGCAGGAAAAGGTTGAAGCAGTCTTTGGATTTTTTCCCTTTTGCATGTCTACCATCATCACATTAATCCTCCATTGTCCAGGGAACTACTACATATGACTTTGTAGTCTGGATCAATGTTAAAGATCACTGTGATTTGTGTTCCTTATCCTTTAGTTATTATTCTCCTTTCTTTCTATAATTTGCAGCAAAGTTTCACATCCTCAACAACTTGGTGAATTTGGTATTTATTTAATTTTTTTTTTTATTGTATGCAGATGCTGCAGCTGTAGTTGTATTGATCTCTCATGCAGATCAAATAAACGATGTATTCTTTGGGAATGACGGTCTTGCAAAAGGTTTTTATGCAGCTTCAAGCATAGAATTTTATGGTTCATTGATATTTAAAAATGTTATATTGTTTTGTAGGGTTGCACAAAGATGCTGTTGTCATCCTCCATTCAACTATATCACCAACATATATTCAGAAGCTAGAAAAGCGTCTCACAGGTAATCCAAATTTCTTTTTCTGGTTTTCATGTCAATTAGGAAAAAGAATTTTATTATTCATGATTTGTGATGATTATTCCATGGTTATAGTCAATATCAACCTACCCCCGTCTGGCATAAGCGGAGGCAACTGGATTTCATGGAATTCATTCCCTCTGGTCCTGACCATTGCATGTAACCTAACAGTGTTAATGTGTGGGTGAGTTCCAAACATGTCCTTTCAGACTTGTCATATGCTCAAGTTCTTGAATCAACTCAACTCAACTCAACAACTCAACCAAGCATTGTCTCAACTATATAGGATCGACTACATGGATTCTGTTCTGCCATTCCACTCTATTCGGTGCCATGTCTATTTGTTAAATCATGAGACTCTTAAGTAATTTCTCATTTCTTTAATCCATGTCCTTTTTGGTCTTTGCTTAACTCTTCTAGACCCTTCTATTTGTAAAAGGTAATTTCTTTTCAGTTTCACTGGTGGTATAGATGGTCTTCTCTTGAACTTGGCTAAACCATTCTACTTTCTTTCATTTTATCGCCTGTGGGAACTACTCCTATGTTACTTTGAATCAGTGGACGGAAATATAAAGATAAAATCAGTGTAGAATTAGAGCAGAAAAAGGAAGTTAATCTTCCATCACCACCAATTCAGTTAATTGGTGAATAGATGGCCGACTTTTTGGATAAATCTTGGGTGGGGAGGGATTTTTTTCATAGTGACTCCTCAATGCCTTTGTAAATTCTAGGAGGTTCTCTTTTCTTGGGTTTTGGTTTTTGGTTCTGCTGGAGTTTTGTACATCTCCTCATGTACATCCTTTTTCTTTTAATGAAAGCTAATCTCTTCTCAGAAAAAAAAAGGAAGTGAAGCATACAACTTAATATGTTGGAGAAAATGTATGGACATATACCTAATCAAGAAAGGAAGCTTATTAATCAGAAAGAAAAGGGAAACATGTTGTTGCATCTTTTGTACACGATCTACAGAAGAGCCCCCTTCTTGATGTAGCTCCCCCCCCTCCCCCCCCCAGTTAACTTTTTGTATTTTGATACTCCTGGGTCTTTGTTGTATTAATGTCTTGTCATTTCTACATTAATAAATATTACACACTGATGGTTGTTACTACATGAAATGGACAGAAGCAACTATTGGCTTATTGTCCACATGGAAATCATAATCCAGAAAGGAATAATGTTTTAGCATTAAATTCTAAACATTTTATTTAAATGAAAAAGAGAAGAATCTCATCTTTCATTTAAATAAAAAAAAAATGTAGATGTACAGGAAAGAGAAAGAAGTGTGGAAAAACAGAGCATGAACAGAAGTGCACATTCTCTGGTGAACCTTATGGTTTATCAACCCTGTTAGCAGTCCTTGCTAGCAAGAGAGTAAAGGGACTGAGAGAATGACATAATTAAATTCTGTTGTAAAAGTCCCATGCCAGTAGACCTCAACATATAAATTTATCATATTCAAAGAGAGAGGGGTTGGTTCACTAAAAGCAGCTCTCTCTCTCTCTTACACATACAAAGACATGAAACCAGCTGTTATCAGTTTCCACCTTGTCTTCTAAGCAAGTCTTATCTGTATTCCTCTTGCTTATAGAATATTCTCGTCCATCCTTCAGCAGCCAGGGAGGTATGTGCATACATCTATTTATTTCACTCCAAAATCTACTGTTCCTTCTTTGTAGGTCCAATTTGAACCCTCTATACCAATGAGGATTCTTGGATGATGGTAGGTGTGACTGACATCTATTGCAACAGTTACTCTTATTTTTCTTTTTTTTTTCTGCCCCTCTGGGGTTTTGGGAGGGGGTATTACAATTTTTTTTTTTTTTTTTAATTTTGAAATTATGTTTCTGGGTGGATCTCCTCATGCATTGCAATTGTTAAGGATTTGAGGGGAGCATTCCTTTCTCTTGCACTGGGGGAGTTACTGTTCTTAATTATTTCGAAGCTTTATTTGTCTTTTTGCTTATGCTTTTTCCTTTCTTTCATCTCTTCCATGTAGCCCTGGACCTTCTCTCATTCAATTAGGACAAGGAGTGTTAGTGTACACCAGAGGGCTTGTAGTTCTTGTATTCATCCAATGATGCATATCACTTGTATTAATAACATACTAGTCTGCAAGAGGGTAGTTATAGTTGCCAAAATTTTCTTCTTTATTATTGGTAGGGCTGGGGATATCTATACTACAGTTTTGGTGATTCTAATGCACTTCTGAAAATGCCAGATACTGTGATCCCGAAACAAGGAAACATCCTTGCAGCATCATATCTTAATTACTATCAATGTATAATTAGACAATGAACACATTGAGGTTCTAGTGGTCATTTATTATATCCTTGTCTACTCATAGGAAACATTGAAGTAACTAGACCCAAATGAAAGTTCCTGAGTTCTGTGCAACTTTTTAGGCCATCTGCAACTAATTCTATCTCGGCAGAATTTGGATTTCTAAATAGGACCTTTAACATTGGTTTTCCATTAAATCATAAAGTTGAGGCTACTTTAACATTGACAATTTGAAAATTGATCACTTGAAATGATAAAGACTATGCTTAATTTAGGATGAGAATCAGAGTTTACAGCAATTACAACCATGGTAAATACTCTTAGGAGAAGCCATACTGGTTGGTGTATGACCATACCATATAAAGTAGGGGGTACATATTGCTATAAACTTCATTGGAAACTTACAGTTTTTCTTTAGTTATAGTTTAGCATGTGGCCAATGTATTTGGATGGGTGCAGAATTCATTTAAATCATTTTACACCTCTCTCTTCTCTAATTTTGTTTAATATTTAGTTTTGCAGGACATTATCTATAGATGTAAGACTAATCAATTTAAAGTTTTTTTCTTTTATGATATCAATTTACTAAGACTAATAATTTAAAGGTTTAATTATTGTATCTGTGAATAAACCCTAGTTGATTCTAGGTCAAAGTAGAGAAGAAGAAAGAAGAAAGAAAAGAGAAAGAAGAAGAAGAAGGAGAGGAGAAGAGTCTTCGGCTAGACTAGAAGAGAGAATGTTAAAATCACTCTCCTAGCCGACCCACTTAACTTTTATTCATAAAACTTGAGTTACAAGAAAGACAATTTTGTCCCTCATAGAAGATGGGACACATAACTTAAACTCAGATACAATAGACCTTTCACTTTCAAGAAGATACACCAGAATGACCAAAATACCCCTGACTCGAGCATTCTAACACTCCCCCTCAAGCTAGAGAGTATATATCATAT